TTATGCACTGGGCCTAAACCACGACACCCCTTAGTCCATAAAGAGCATCCATCTATGAAAAATTTGATACCAGATGTACAATATATTTTAGCTCCAATTCACTATGAGACAAATCAGTGTGCTCTTGGAGGAATCCACATGTTCAATCTGTCCTTAGTTACATGTCGGCTCTGACTCCATCTCTGTTTTAGTATGGAATACATCAAGGCCTTCTCTGTATGTTTATCTAGCAATAAGAAAAAAGTAAAATAGTTTGGAAATGCAGTAACTTGAGAAGCAAAATATACTCATGAATTTAAAGACAGCAGCACAAATTTTCAAGTAGTACAGAATATGAGTTGCTCCGTTCACTGACAGCTTTCAGTAGAGAGAAGCTAGCCCTGAGGCACACCTGAGGGCTCACAGAATAACATAAGGAGCTTTTTTAAACAGTTTTTGATAACTTCTTTTTTCTCTTTTGACTACTGTGAAGCTGATGGCTCTTTTTCTTTCTCTCTGGAGAAGAAGACAAAAAATTACTATCTTTGGTAATTTGTGTCATAGAATTTCTAGTCTCCATGGAGACCTACGTGGTGCTCCGCAGTCAGGTAACATTTCATGTTGCAGCAGAAATTGGATGCGGGAAGACTGGTTTCTGCAACTTGCCTGTTAATCAATTAAAAACGAGATTTGAAATTAATTTTCACATGGTCTTGCAATCTTCACTTGGACTACCAATGAAAGAAATCAAAGTAAACAAATTAAGGTAGCATGGCCTGATCCTACATGCACTTATGCATATAACTCTGCCACTCAGTTTGATTCTGATAGGTGTTGACACTAATTTGGAAAAGTTCTTTGGTTTTAGTAGGGTTATATGGATTAATACTATGGAGAGTGAAAGGTGTTTGTCAAGTTGACTCTAATAAAAAGCTTGCCAGAGAGGTAGCAACAGTCCTTTTGTTGTAATTTATATAAGCAAATCATTTTGAAAATCAAGACCCTTAAATCTTTACCTTTGTCTGTATTCATTCTTGTTCTTCCACTGCTAAGGAAGAAATACATCTCAAAAATGGTTTCCTCTGAAAAGATGTGGTAACTTCATCTACCTGCCTCTTCAGGAGTTACTTTTTTTTTATTTCAAGCTTTGTCAACTTGAACACAAAGGCATATTATCTTACCGGGACAGCAGAAGGTGATACAGAGAAAATATACAGAGACCAGTCGTCTTTTGTGACTGCAGTCAACCCATGAAGAGTGAGTGCTCTCAGCCACCTACAAGTAAAGTATACAGTAATAGAAATAATGCAGCCTGCTGTCAACCTCTAAATACTCCTGCACAGACAGCCATGATAACAAAATACACAAATAAATGCATTACTTAGAGAATTTTCTAAACATTTTACATTTGAACAATGAAATCCCAGTATTCACTTTACAACTGCACTAAACCACAATGGTGAAATACAATAGTGCTTTATGCTATTCACTATAACCAAACTAGAAAATCTGATAATTTTGTATGTATTTTGAAAGTATTTACTGCATCTGTTTCAGAATACTGTGGAGAAAATGTATGCGAGTTGAGAGGTTATTGGATATGATTTTGGAGATGACTCAAAAAGTTAGGCTTAAGCCAATTAAGCCTAATCCAAACATAGATGAAGGATAGGCTTGGATGATTGTACTTTCGTCTTTCCTTGTGCACATACTTATCATGGGGTCTCAAATGGCCCTTGGAATACTCAACATGGAGTGGCTTGAAGAGTTTAATCAAAGTCGTGACTTAACAGCACGGGTCAGCTCCCTCAGCATGGGCATTACACTTATTGTAGGTATGTCTCAGCATAATTTATTTCAAAATTACATAGGTTTTTAGAATATGTTTACCACTCATCCCTCAAGAATTTTCTTGCAGTTTTCCATTTTATTAGCAGAGCTGCCCAAGTTCTCCTGAGTTGCCTTTTTAAAGTCACCATGACAAATTTTACAAGTTAGAGGGAGAAAGGGAACAACAGGAAAGATTACAGAGAAGACAATTACTGCAGGAGACAGCATGAGCAGGAAAGGATGCCTGTGGCTTGAAGGTCTCACTACAATTAAGAAAACAGATGATCTGAAGTGTGTGGTCTTTCCTGTACTATCTGTGAGGAGAAAATGTTGCATTTGCACAGTTTATTTTTCAGTTTAGCAGCTGAACTAAAATTTATTTTTTAAGTTGTGGTAGGATCAACCCCAAATAATATCTGGAGGGGTATATGTTTTTGTGTGTATGCATATATATATATATATACACACCTATACCCCTCTGTCTCTATAAATTGAGTTTGAAACGGTTGTATTTAGGTCTGCCTAAAATATTCCAGTGCAAACAAAACAAAATGTTGACTTTCTAGTTACTTGTGAAAAAGGCCTGCACTCACACAGCATTTGTGTTGGGAACAATGGTTTCAGTTTCTTCCTCTGTTTAAACTGTCCTTTCTTCATGGGACAACTTTGAATTTAGGTCCTGCAGGTATTTGCTAAGTATTTGGTTAGTTAACTGGATTTTTCTTTCCATAATTTTAAACAGTAATAGGGAAAATAAACTGAATTGCATGTGCAGCCTGATGCTTAACATTTTGTTTAAAACATTAAGAATCTCCATGTGAAAAACTATTAAAGAGTCTAGAGAATTAAATCAATAATTTCACATTTTTTCATGTTTTTAACAGGTCCTTTCATTGGTTTGTTCATCAGCACGTGTGGGTGCTGCAAGACTACTATAATTGGAAGGATATTGAATGCCCTAGGTTGGATACTGAGTGCCTATGCCTCAAATGTGCACTATCTCTTCCTTTCATTCGGAGTGACAGCCGGTAAGAGCTGTATTAATTGTTGAAATTTCTTTCAATTATTTTTTATTCTTTTGAAGGCTACCTGGGTGAATAAAGAGGGAAGGTAGACTGTAAAGTTATTCCAGCTTTTCTTTCACACTATTTACAGCCTGTTATCTTTTCAGAAAATTTATTTACTCAGTGGACTGAGGGCCATGACTTTTGGTGTCATTTAAATCTGCCTTGCGAAGATGGTATTTTTATCCGGTTCTCCCAAGTGAATATATTAGAGGACATTTTTAATTAGAAGAATTAATGTAACCCAAACGCTAAAAAGTGGAATTTAAAGATCTTAAAACACTGTTGAATTGTATATCTAGCTAACTCTGTCATAGGAAGAAACAGCAAATGCTTTCTACGGGAGTTGCTCCACATTAATAAGATACCAGATTGTGAGAACTATGTACTGCTTCAAAACCCATTTTAAAGGCTGTTATGGGTTATTGCTTGTAGGTTCCTAAACCCAACTCTCCTGCAGTAGGGTGAGGAAGAGAATCAGAAGGGTAAAAGTGAGATAAAGACAGTTTAATAAGTAAAGCAAAAGCTGCATGCACAAGCAAAGCAAAATAAAGATAGAATTCATGAATTCCCGTAGACAGGCAGATGTTCAGCCATTTTCAATAGAGCAGGTTTTCACCACGTGTAACAGTTACTTGGAAAGACAAATGCCAAAACTCTGAATGTTCCCACTTCCTCCTTTCCCCCAGTTCTGTTGCTGAGCACTACCTCATATGGCATGGGATATCCCTTTGGTCAGCTGGTGTCAGCTGTCCCACTGGGTCCCCTCCCAGCAGACACAGTGCAGCCCAGGCCCTCGCACTGGCAGGGCCGCATGAGAAACCAAAAAGACCTTGGTGCTGTGTAAGCACTAAGCAGCAACAGCTAAAACAGCCCTGTGTGATCAGCAGTGTTTGGGTCACAGATCCAAAACATAGCACCATGTGCGCTACTATGAAGAAAATTAACTCTATCCCAGCCTCAATTAGGACAATTCATGTGGCCTTATTTCACATGTACTTTCTAATAACGGATATAAAGGATTCTAGTAAGACACTGGGTACTAGTTTTGTAGGTAGAGTTTGTGCAAGAAATAGTGAGGGAGAGGTAGAAATGTCATTAAATTAAACCATACACATTTTTTTGTAGGTGGAAAAAAGCCCAAGCTCTTGATTACAGTTTAAGATATACCCCGATTTTCAGGAGGTCATAACCTTTCGTTTTGAAATAGCCGTCTGCTGAGATCTGGGAGGCAAGTGGTCAGCATAGATGTGGGCTTTGTCTAACAGAAAATTTTGTAAATCACTTGAAACAGCTTTTGCATTTCATCATATAAAAATAACTAGGTAATCACTTTTAGCTGTGTTCCTGACTGTTTTTCTGGGGTGGGAATGTATATGAAATCTTTGGCTCACAGAGATGTGGATTTGAAAAATATGGTCTTTTCATGACATAAGGCTGTTGAGTAAGAAGCAAGGCATTAGCGGCACTAACTGATTATTTGTTTGCTTTGAAACTTGCTCGTTCAGAAACATAAGAATGGGAGAGGTATGAAAGGAGCAGCGAGAAGCCTGTGTGCTGTACTTCATTGTGGCATCTTAATCCAGATGTTGAAATGAAAATGTTAATTTAAAAATGCATGGTTAGTATTTTCATTTGTTACTCTCAAGTTGCAGAACTATGCAAAGCAACTTTACTTTTTAAGTAATCAGTGCACGGTCCTTCTCCAAAAATGCATTCTTTTAGGAACTGAACGTGTAACAGCTTTACAAAAGAAAGTGCAAAATAATGGAGCGTTTTTTCTGTACAATTTTGGAGAACTACAACAGTTAACTTCAATTATGACTGAGGAATAAGCTATTCAGTATTTCAAGACTGTGCAGAAGACATCAAACATTCACTGATTCTTGTTGATGATGCTTTTTCAAATAATTTCTGGGTATATTTTATACAGCTTTGCAGTGACCATCCATACAATTAGAAGTCGTCTCTCATACCAAGACCCTAATCCTTCAATGAAATCCCCATAAGCATTCACTGCTATCAGTAGATGGCAAGTCTGGGGGCTGTGTATAAAATCCAGGTCCTGCAATAGTTGTGAAAACATCACTGGAGGTTGGATTTCCCTGTATTTCCTAACTGTGGCCTGCCTGAGCACTTTCCCCAGAAGAGAATTAGTATTTTAAATGTCATGCTGACCTGTCACCTGCATGTTGTTTATTTCATCCTTTAGATGGCAATTGTCCATCTTTAAGGGTCAGCTCTGAAAGTCCTTGGATATCTTTCCATCATCAAATCCTCCAGGCTTCACGGTGGAGAGAAGCAGTGGGAGCTTTTTGCTGCTCACATACGGTTAGGTCTTGGGCTGGGTTCTGCAAGTGCTGTCTCAAAAACTGACATCAGGTTTGCATTCCCTTTGGATGGTGGCTTCTTCAAGTGGCTTGATAACATTTTAGCTTGAAGTGCAGTAAGCTGCCTCCTTGTTTGATACTTAAAACAGTCCTTTTGTACCATTGCCTGTAGGTAATTTCTATAGATATTTCTTAGTGCTGGGAAAGTTAGTGTGAAATTAATTGTGAGTTCCTTGTTACCAGTTACAGTCCTGAGATAGTCCAGGAGGGTTTGGAGTTTTTTTATCCTTTCTCATGGACATACATTTAACGTTTCAAAGCAGCATATGGTAGTGTTAGCTCTTGCAGCTTGGCTAGCATCTTCTTCTAACTTGCATCTAGGTGGAGCTTTCTGTGTTTTGCATTCCTATTTTTTTCAGCAATGCTTCTGTTGAAGAGGTCACAAACACAAGAAGAAAAACTTATCTATGCAGTAGCAGATAAGCAGGCACTTCTTTATTGCAGCACTGGGGAGACGCAGAGGATAGCTCCTCTAATTGTGCTCCGAAGCCCATACATTTTCACAGCTCATTTATACATTTCTAACAAAGTGATTTCACAAGATTATACAAGTATGCATAGAATGCCCGCTTTTTAATTTGCCCTTTACCATGATTGGTTTGGCATGCAAAATGAGAAAACCTTTGCCTTATCACAACTGTTCTACGTTTGGTGTGTACCTGGGAGACCGCAGTACCAGGGGTCCAGCCTCTCCTCTTGGACCAGGAATACCATTCATCACCACCTTTACTACCAGGTTCTCCCTTATCCCCTTTTGGTCTGGGGCTTCTAGAAGCTCCTCTTTCTTCTGGCACTCCTTGTAAGCCAGGCATCCCTGGTATGTACCTTCTCTAAGCACTTATACACGTGTCTTGTAATTTTAACTTTACAGTTTAAGCAAACACCTACTTTAACTACTTTAATTATTTTAATCAATCAGGATGTTTTCTTGACTACAACGCTCCCAGCATGGAATTTGGAGTATGATTTTAATCTAAGCCAAGTCAGAAGATATTGCACTTCTTGGTGATCAGACCAGGGGGATTCTTGCCCCAGCCCCATGCACCCTCCTCCCCAGCCGGACAGATTCAATGTAGCTACCTGAAAGGAGGGTGTTGCAAGGTGCGGTTGGTCTCTTCTCTCAAGTAAAAAGGTATACGATAAGAGGAAATGGCCTCAAGTTGTGCCAGGGGAAGTTTAGATTGGATATTAGGAAAAATTTATTCACTGAAGGTGTTGTCAAACATTGGACCAAACTGCCCAGGGAAGTGGTGGAGTCACCATCCCCGGAGGTATTTAAAAGATGTGTAGATAAAAGATGCTTAGGGCATGGTTTAGTGGTGGACTTGGCAGTGCTAGCTTAACAGTAGGACTCGATGATCTTAAAGATCTTTTCCAACCTAAACGGTTCTATGATTCAAATTACATCTAGAGCCACTAATAAATAGCAACTGGTTTTGCTACATTTTTTTACAATCAGAATCTTAGAAAGAAGAAATATTTTGTAGTTTTTATTGGAATTAGGTCTCTAGAAACCTTTTGATATATGTAAGAGCCCAATCAAAATATGAAAAGGCACATGTGTTTAGGCATCTTGAAAACCAACAGATCTTTAGTGCTTGAATGCTCAGTTTCTAGCAAAATGTGGCTTCTTGTGAAAAAAATCAGTTACTTTAAGAAAGTTATGTAGAAGAACCCAGTATATGTAGAAGAACCCAGTATTACCTACTTAAAGCACTACTCCATTTTATTCAATGCTTATTTCTGGAAAGAGGTACTGTTAATCTATTTGAAACAAAAATGTTACAGTGATCCAAGTAAGAAATACACAATTTGGTCTTTACCTATTATCTGAGCAACACAGAGCAATTCAAGGGGCTTTGAAATATTATTCGTTCCATGGATAACATGGATACTTATGTTTGCAAATGAAGCATGGTATCTATGTTACATGTGACAGACAGAAGGATTATGAAAAAAATGAATTGTTTGCAATACTAATAATAGCTTCAGTACCTTTCGTTCTCTCCAACTATCCTTGCACAGAATTTCATCGATATCTGCAGTATGTCTGTAGATATTTTGCTATTTAACTCTCTAGATGGAAAAAAAATGAAACTAACAAGGATCACTGTGATGCCTCTTTATACCACCATACCGTAGATTTCAGTAATGTTGTAAATTCCTGAACAAAGAACAGTAATTACAGGGAGGGTTCTGCCCTTTTCAGAATTTCTGCTTCCATATGTGTATTGAATATAAACAAGCAGACAGGAATCTACACACTTTCTCTCAGCCCTTGCTGCTTAAGAGCAGCAGAAAGAGCATACACAAAATACCAGACAAAAAAAGCAGAGATTATACAAAGAATTAAAAGAAAAATCTGAAGCAAATTTTTACACGAGGTGAAGTGAGATGCTGTCACAGGAGTAATTCTGTGCAGAAAACCATTGAAGAGATCCCCGAGATGTTTTCTCCAGCTCCATGAGACCAGCCCCTCACTCATCATTTCCTCACTTCTTGGCCCCTCACTCACTGTCGTCTCACTTGCCATTGCCTCACCATCTCCTCACTCATCATCCCCTCACTCACTGTCCCCTCACTCATCATCTCTTCACTCGCAGTCCCTTCACTCGCTGTCCTCTTGGTCACGATCACCTCACTCACGGCCACCTCATAGAAGTGCTCATGCTTCATGCTCTCATGGCCACTAGATGTAAGACTGCTGTTCACTTACGGTGGCTGCCTGATTGTGCAGGGAAGCACAGTAAATGCTCATGGAAGCATGAGCCTATGCTATTTTTTCACAGCATATTGCAAAGGCAATGGCAGGCCGGTGTGACAAGGCAAGCAGTCTTCGGGAGGCAGTTTTCCTTTGAGTTTGCACCTGGATTTGGGGAGGGAGAACTTGTGCAAAATAAAAACCTGATCATGTATTTGCATAGTAAAGAAATAAATGCTTCTGACAGGCAAAACAGGTCAGCTCTGACCACTGTACACTGACATGATGTTGAGGTGCTTTTCTTCAGGCTTTGCTGGAATAACAACTCTTTCTCTGATCTAGCTGTAGCTAGATCCAGCTGTAGCTGCACGCACCTATGTATCATCTATTTAGGAAAACTTTTAAGCCCAAAACAGTTTCCTAAATTATGATCACAGTGGATTTGGAAGCATCTTCTGCATACACCTCTTTCAACTCACATCCCCTCTGTCAGGAATTTGCTGTGAGAAAAACTGAGCAGCTGTTACCTTTAATGATGTGTTTGCACAACTCTCAAACAATTTTTGCTTGAAATAGGTAATATTAATACCCTGTTTTTCAACTATAAGTGGGGGAATTTCTACAAATTAGAGATCTGCCTATTAAGAACGTGCCTGCACGGCTGTTGTGTGGCCCTAGCTGGGCTTCCTTAGAATGCCCAGAGAGAAACCTGGAAGCCACCCAAGGTTCCATCACAGGGCTAAATCCCCATGCTGACTCTTGAAAAGTATCTCACAGTCAGTGAGGCTCCACAGTTATAAAGCAAGGACAAAAACCCAGTCTGACCTTCATTGCTGGTGAACTTGGGCAAAAACAACAAGATGTGCCCACTAAGCAATTTCTGGTTGCTGATACAATCAGATGCAAGTATTACAAATACAGATATTTAAAAAGAGGTTTTATTTATGTTTATCGCCATATTAACTGTCACTGATTTATTGTGGAATGTTTGGGGCTTTCCAGTGGTGTCATGCTGAACTAGGGTAAAGGTTTTACCTTCCACATGTTTCATTTTTTGCAGCAGATAAATAGCAGTATTGTATTCTCACATGAATGGAATGAGTACTGCAAATTTTGGAACATCCTACAAGACAGAAATGAAAGTTAACATAAGAATTGAATATTTATTCTCAGTTTTAGTACTATGCTTGTGCAAAAGTTAGGAATAAAACTGATTAATTTTTCACTGCTTTCTACCTCGTTGCTAAAAAGTTCAGATTGACTTCAGTCTTTATTTTCATAGGCATTGGAAGTGGCATGGTTTATCTGCCTGCGGTGGTCATGGTAGGGCAGTATTTTCAGAAGAGAAGAGCACTTGCAGAAGTACCACAGGAACAGGTTTTGGAGCTTTCCTAATGACTGTCTTGCTGAAGTATCTCTGCACCAAGTTTGGTTGGAGGAATGCCATGTTCATCCAGGGCACCATCTCCTTGAACCTGTGTGTCTGTGGGGGACTTATGAGACTACTGTCCCTCAAAGATGTTGTTAGTGAAAAATACATTGTGAGAAGCAGTAGTGAAGATAATCAGGCAAAAGTTTTGTCCCATTCTGCAGAGACTATGAAATCTAATGGAGTCCTCAGTGAAGAACCAGAAAAGAAAGAGGAGACAACAAATGAAGAAGTGCTTGACTGTGTTCAGCACATAGAAATTTGTGATAAATCTAGAAGCGGAAGGAATATGTACGGACTGCGTGTTCTTAAGATAGTGAGCCAGCTGACAGTTACAGTCAGGAAGGGCTTTGCGATATGGTACTCCAGCTACTTTGGAGCTGCATCACTGTTTACCAATAGAGTATTTGTGGCCTTTATTATTTGGGCTTTGTTTGCCTATAGCAGCTTTGTCATTCTCTTTATTCATCTTCTAGAAATAGTCAAGCAGTACAACTTATCTAGTCAGAACAATTGTATTTCCTTTGACATCCATTATAGCCATTGTTCATATTTTTGGTAAAGTGATCCTTGGAATCATCTCTGATCTCCCATGTATCAGCATGTGGAACGTATTCCTCATGGCTAACTTTACCCTGGTCACCTGCTTTCTTACTTTGCCACTAATGCAAACATATGTGAGCCTGGCTGTGGTTTGTGCTCTAATAGGATTTTCTAGTGGCTATTTTGCTCTAATGCTTGTTGTGACTGAAGATTTAGTTGGAACGAAACACCTCGCAAATGTCTATGGCGTCATCATTTGTGCCAACAGAATATCTGCATTGCTTGGACCACCCTTTGCAGGTAAAAAGTTCAAATTTCTAAGCAACAGATGTTTGTATAATAACCATATGACTTGTTATATTATTAAGCTTTCTTATGTTATGAGCATGTGTAGTTAACAAAATTATATCTGCTCCAGAATAGACACTTAACATCCAGCTTTACGTTGTACAAACTTACAGATCACATCTGCTGAGTATCAGCTCACAATTCACACACTACAAATGACTATCCTTGCAAATAACCCCAAGTCTATTACAATCTATCCTTCATTTCAATGCTATGTTTCCTTAAATTATTATTATATAACTTTTTAAATTGAGAAAGGTTTAACCTATTTTTTGTGTTTTGAGAGGTATGTGCACTATACATACTCATGCATCTATTTAGATTAAAAAATGAAAAGCAGTTTTCAGGGTGGGTGAGTGTTTGTACCATGGTATTATCCTGAAGAACTATAAAATGTGTTTGGCTGTCACCACTCTAAGCTGCCAATGGATGTGTTTATTTCACTAACTTAGCTTTGCCTTCCTTCAGCCAGAAATATCTACTCTAGGGATGGCACTGCTCATAATCTCTTTACTGCCATCCACAGCAGAAGGTATAAATTTATATATGTAATCTTTAAAGTTACTTAGGTTTAAACAAACATTCATTATAAATTTTCTCATAGAAAGAGACGGGAAGTATGGAAGAGAGACAGTTACTGATTGTCAATACTATAGCCAGGCTACGGCTGTCTTTTACAGAGCTGGAAAACAGAAGAAAGCCATAAGAAACCTTGTGAGCAATGGCCATGGTCAGCCAGGGATGGCACTAGGCTGACCTGATGCTAATAGCAGGACAAGGAACCCAGAAAAGCGAGAATGCTCTCATTTTCTCCTCCTACCATTGAGCGAGATGACACGATTTCGAAGAAAGCTCATTTAGTGCCCTTTGAAAAGCAACAGTGTTTTTACTCTACCATGTATTCTTTCAGCATCTCTCAGGCTGTGCTGAACGTGTCTTTGCATTTGGTCATTAGTAACGAAGTAAACAGAATACAATTAGTTGATGTTAAAGAAGTTTCTGATCTTGAGGTTACATTGCAATGCAGCCAGCATGACATGAGAAAATTTTGCTATTTGGGGTTCTCAGACCTTTCTGAAGTGAGTTTTATGTATTTTTGCCAAGGAATTAAGGTTGGAATGAGAGTCATCGCAGTACTGAGATTATCTCTCTTGAAAAGCCTTTTATTGGTACGTGAATCTTTGAGAAAGCTGTTGGGAACATGTATACTTGCACAAGGCACAGCATTGGAACAAGCTTGCACTATTGGGCATTTTACAAAGAAAATAGTAAGAGTGAAAGAATTGGTTTTGGATCCCAAAATGTCTATTTTAAAGTCAGACTTGTGATCACTTATTTGAAAAGTGTATAGTTTTAGAAAGTTGCTTGGCTTCTTAGAATGGCTTCTTAAAATAAGAGTCCTGTTTTAAGTCTTCCGTGATACTTAAATGAGGGGATAGATTTTTGCACTAGTTTTGGGCTTTGGTGAATGAACAAGAGATTTTGTTAATACGTGTCCATCTGCACCATCTAGAGGAGGAGACAATCACCACCTCACAAAACATCTATACATTTGACTGAAATGTCATAAAAGAAATGTGCAGCACAATGTACAGTATTTTTCATAGTTTTGTATTTTCCTGTGCAATGTACTTTGTTCTCAAGCTTTGTAACAAGCATGTTTTGTCCTTGTGTTGCAGGTTGGATCTATGACATCACATAAAAATACGATTTTTCTTTTTACATATCACAGAAACACAGAATCACAGAATATGAGGGGACCTCGAAAGATCATCCAGTCCAAC